GGTGTTAGGTATTCCCTACACATGTTAATCAACTTTTATATTTATTATTTTAATGATGTGTACATCTTAGGAAATATATGAGATCGGAGGAAGAAAATTTGGGTTCCAAAGCTTGGAGCCTCTGGGCTGTGAGCCGTACGCGAGAGTATTTGAAGGGACTAAACCCGGTGCCTGCTTCGACAAAATCACCCCATTTCTAAAATTGCACAACAAAGAACTCTCCATGCTCTTAAAAAAGCTGCAGTCCAAACTCGACGGATTCAAATACTCACTTGTGGAACTCCACTCACTTCTACAAGAAATGATAGATCAACCTTCAAACTTTGGTACTCGGACATTTCCACTTTTCTTGAGCTATATATATATTTTTTTCCCCCCCTTGATTTTACACATCATAATTGAGTTTCGTGTTTTCGACGTTGAAAAATTAAGGTTTTAAGGAAGGAAAGGTGGCATGTTGTGGAAGTGGTCCGTACAGAGGAATTTCAAACTGTGGGGGGAGAAGAAGAGTGAAAGAGTATGAACTATGCGATAATGTTAGCGATTATGTCTTCTTTGACTCTGGTCATCCCACAGAAAAGGCCAACCAGCAAATTGCCGAACTAACATGGAGTGGAAAGCCTAGTGCCACAGGACCATACAATTTCAAAGCATTATTTGATCTTAAGTAAAATGTTGTTATGTTTCAGACGGCATTTTTCTGCTCTCTTTTGTTTTTCTTTGTTGGGTGTTTTCTTTCATGCAGACTCGTTTTTGTTTGAGTAAAATCCACCTTATTGACATTTTGTCAATAGGCCTTACAAATGCTCAAATGGTTTTTGGGAAGGTAATTTTTAACAAGCACTTATAACCTTACAGTTAGTTGGAAACTTTCCACAAGATTTGTTGGACAGTGGGAGAATTGCAATTTATTTGCCGTTAATCTAGCCATTTTTATATACTTTTAGACGATATTCTCAAGTATGACTACCATATATCAACATTCTTGCATATACTAAATGGTATTTTAATGAAATTTTCGATGCAATAATGTGAAAACTGTTTTTTTTTTTTTTTTTTTTCAATTTTAAATATAATTGGTAAATGATATTTGAATATTGTATAATCATTTAACAAGTGTATTATCAAGCTAGTTGGTATCCAAATTTGGTAATAACGTAGCACGCAAGCATACCAACCTGCAAATAAAAATGCAAATTAATGAAAAATTTATTTTGCCTTTTCAACTCTTTACTGAAAATTAAATGCAGCCAAAAACTGAGTATCACTAAAGCAGTTTCTGCGTCATTAGTGAGGTTTGATTGTTGGCCAGTTTCTGCGTCATTAGTGAGGTTTGATTGTTGGCCACTCGGTCTTCCCCTTTATTAATTTTTTATTATCTACTTTTTTATTCAATCCATTAGTAACGCTGCTAACACACCTATCTGAATGGTTACATAAAAAAAGAAAATAGTTAGATTATTGACTTCGATCCAAGTTTATGCCATTTAACTTTAAGACATCTGGATTTACAAAAAAAAAAAAATGCTATTAAATAAATTTCATTGCACTTTCGTACTCAATTTGAACTAGTTCTATTTTATGTAATCAACTATGTTCAACATGCTATTATTAGAAAATTCCAATATTTTGTCATGTTTCTTTCTCATTTGGGCTACTTAAATTAACTTAAATGTGTAACATAATATTATTTGAAGAAAAGTAGTTACTGTAAGGTTTTAGGTAGAACATATATGAAGATTTGACGGTTCTATCACTTAAATATAATGACGTGATATATCACATCTACTTAAGTAATTTCTCCTCTATATTATCCATTCCAGCCGTGTATATATATATATATATATTTATATCATTTAAGCAAGGATAATAATTAAATATAGGAGGCTTGTATTGCGAGAGCAATTAATTCCTATGATAAATGAACTTAAATCAAATTCCCTTGGAAGAGCAACGCATTCAATGCAATTGAATTATGAATGCGTTTAAAGTTTTTTAATTGACGTTTGGTTCATAGATTCAGAATTATGATTTAGAATTATTCTTAATTTACGTATATTTTTTATAAAAAAAAATACTGTAACCAGTTAAAAACTATAATTCAAACTATGATACGAATCCTTACTCGAAACGTACGGTTACTTCTCGTAAAAGATAAACCCAGAAATAATAATATCTTGGTGTTAATCATGATGCCGAATTTCAAACCAGCAGTAGTGAATCACAACGACCAGTGCCACATCACATCGAATGAAAATGCATGGTAAGCGTTTTTATGGTGTTTTGACTCTATTCAAAAAGTTAAAAGGCTCTAGGGAAAGCCGTAGAAGAAGATGGTTTCGTCTTTATTTGGACTTTTTCTATAAACCAATTTCATCATTTTCTTTTCTTTTATAATTTATAGGATGATATCAGCCATACAATCTTCGTGAACAACAATATCTTTTGAATTTGTATGATATAAATAACTCGGGATATATAAACCAGCTAGTCTACCTAAAGTCATCAGCCTCACTCTTCTACCGACAATATATATAGGTATTAATTTTATAAATATCTCTCAAATTATGTATTTTAGTTCAAAATACCCCTTAAATTTTAAAAGGATCCCTTTCACCTCCCAAACTATATAAAATAGTCTAAAATACCTCTTAATGTAAATCTATAAATGTCTGCCAAACTTTTAATTTTGTATCAACTTACTTCCTGATCTTTTAGAAAAATCAAAGACATATTGACTTCAAATCAATAGTTCAAAAGCATTTTTAAAATTATAAATAAAAGTTATTTTATTAGTATTATAAACAGTGAGGATATTTTGAACTAGCGTACATAATTCGAAACATTTATTGAATCCTCGTGTATAGTCGGCATGCCTTGGAATAGACGGAACTGTGACACTATTGATCACATTGGAAAATAGAAACGTACTACTCGAATTGTCGTGCTTCTAACTGCATCTATTTTTTTCCGTCACGAAACTTAATTATCAAGATCGAGAAAGGAAAAATGAGAGAAAATGATAAATTCTCATTAACGTGAATAGTTACAGGAAAGCTATATATATAGCTGAAACAGAGAGAAACTTCCGGTAGAAGCTAAACAAAAATAACAGCTGTCACTTGACAGCTCAGCACATTAACACAGCTCAGCATATTATTTACAACTAAAAATAACAAATCTAATAACAACTTAATACGCCCCCTCAAGAGGGACCATGAATATCCTTGATGGCCATCTTGCATAAGGAAGAATGAAGTAACGGCCAAGACAAAGCTTTAGTAAAAGGATCTGCAAGCTGGTGTTGAGACCGAATTGGCATGAGCTTAACCATTCCTTTAGTAACCATATCACGAACAAAGTGGCAATCCACTTCAATATGCTTAGTCCGCTCATGAAAAATAGGATTGGAAGCAATGTGTATCGCAGCCTGATTATCGCAAAAAAGCATTGTAGGAGAAGACAAATCAAAACGAAAATCTGATAGCAATTGTCGTAACCAAACCAATTCACTTACGGTGGACGCCAAAGCCCTGTATTTAGCTTCAGCAGACGAGCGAGAAACCGTAGTTTGCTTCTTAGACTTCCAAGAAACCAGAGAATCACCTACAAAAACACAAAAGCCGGTCACAGATTTTTGAGAATCTGGACATGAGCCCCAGTCAGAATCAGAAAAAGCCTTCAACTGAATTGGTGAGGCGGCAGAGTAAAAAAGACCTTGGCCTGGACTTGCTTTAATGTAGCGAAGCAAATGATGAACTGCCTGCAAATGGGGCACTCGGGGTTTTGCCAAAAATTGACTTAATTTGTGAACGGCAAAGGTAATATCCGGCCGAGTGATAGTGAGATAAAGTAGCCGCCCAATCAACCTTCGATATTGAGATGCATCAGACAAAAGAACCCCTTCATCTGCACCTAATATCACCTTTGCATCCATTGGAACAGTGGCTGGTTTACAAGCAAGAAACCCCGAATCTTCAAGCAATTGCAATGCATAATGTCTCTGAGAAAGCGCAATTCCAGCAGTAGATCGAGCTATCTCAATACCAAGAAAGAACTTCAAAGGACCTAAATCCTTGAGCTTGAACTTACTATGAAGAAACTGTTTTAAGTCATTGACAACCTCCAAGTTTGGCCCTGTAATGATAATATCATCAACATAGACTAGTAAAGCAATAAAGGAGTCACCTGCACCCATAACAAACAAGGAGTAATCGGATTTGGATTGGACAAATCCAAATTGAATTAAGGCACAAGCAAACTTAGAATTCCATTGCCGTGAAGCTTGTTTCAGGCCATAGATGGACTTGTTGAGTTTACAAACCAATCGGGTACCATTGGAAGATTTCGCCCCCTGAATGTTATAACCAAGAGGGAGATCCATGTAAACTTCCTCAAACAAGTCACCATTAAGGAAAGCATTATTGACATCTAGTTGAAACAAGTGCCATTTCTAACTTGCAGCTAAAGCTAAGAGAACTTTGACTGTGACCAACTTAGCTACAGGAGAAAAGGTCTCAAAAAAATCAACACCCTCCTGTTGTGTAAAGCCTTTGGCCACTAGACGAGTCTTAAACCTGTCAATCGACCCATCAGGTTTATGCTTAATTTTATACACCCATTTACAACCAATGGAGTGTTTTCCTTTAGGCAAAAGAACAACTTGCCAAGTATGATTAGTCTCCATAGCTATTAACTCATCTTTCATAGCATCCCTCCAATCAGCATGCTTAACTGCCTGAGGATAAAACTGTGGCTCTATGGAAGAAGAAACATTCATAACAAACTTCCTATAAGAAGTAGAAAGTTTGCTATAATCAAGTACCTTGGATAAAGGATGAAGAACAGTGGAAGTAGTATCAACCATCAAATTATTACAATGAAAATCTCTAAGATAAGACGGAGGCCGAACAAGCCTACTAGACCGCCTTATAGACAAATCAGGTATCCCAGGAACCGGTGGGGATTGAGGATCTTCAGGAAATTCAAAACCAGAAAATCCAGGCTCATGATGGTGATTAATAGAAGGATTGGGTAAAACAAAATTAGGAAAAGGATCTATATTTGTATCATCAGACCCTATAGAATGAAAAGGAAAGATTTCTTCATGGAAAACCACATCCCGAGAAATAAAAATTTTCTTAGACTGTAAATCCAGTAACCTATATCCTTTAACACCAGGCGGATATCCTAGAAAAACACATGCTCGTGCTCTAGGCTGAAATTTTGTTCGATGAGCCACAAGTGTAGATGCAAAAACTAAACACCCAAAAACTCAGAAATGAGAGTAATCAACCATATTGTCAAACAACAACTCATAAGGCGTTTTATTAAGCAGCAAAGGTGAAGGAGTTCTATTTATCAGAAAGGTGGCAGTAAGAATACATTCACCCCAAAACTTGATTGGTACTCCAGACTGAAAATAGAGAGCCCGTGCAACATTAAGCAAATGTTGGTGCTTCCGTTCAACAATAGAATTTTGTTGTGGGGTGTCGACACAAGAAAACTGATGTAGTATCCCAAGACTATCAAATAACTCAGTAAAATCCAATTCCCGAGCATTGTCTATCCTAAACTTCTTAATAAGGACGTTAAACTGAGTTTTCACCATATGACAGAACTTAGGAACTATAGTAAGAACATCAGATTTCTGTTTTAGTAAATAAATCCATGTAAAACGAGTGCAATCATCAACCAAGGTTAAAAAGTATCTATATCCAGCATGTGAAGGAATATGATACGCACCCCAGATGTCACAATGCACTAAATCAAATGCTGAATCGGACAAATGATTATGAGAATCAAATGATAATCTGCATTGTTTAGCCAATGGACAAATATAACATGGACCTTCATGACTAAAATTTGAAGCATCAACATTTAATTGCTTCTGTAAACCTACCAACCTTTTAAAAGACAAATGACCAAGTCGAGCATGCCATATCTTGGCAGTGACTTTATTCACAAACAAATGAGAAGCAGACAAATGATTGAAATCTGTAGATAACAAACCACAATTATTAGTATCCAGAACATATAAGCCATCCAGCCTTTTACCCCTGCCAATCATCTTCTTGGTGTTGATATCCTGAATAACAAAGGAAGTAGACAGGAAACTCAAAGTCACCTTGGCATCAGCAGTCAAGGCACTTACTGAAATTAGATTGAATCTAAACTGTGGCACAAATAGCACATCTTTAAGCAACATCTTTGAACTTATACGTACATCTCCATACAAAGAGACAGGAATACTAGTGTGGTTAGGTAGCATGACACTAGAATTTTGCAACGGTTTCAACGACATAAAGAATTCAGCCTTTGAACATATATGTCGTGAGGCTCCAGAATCAACAATCCAATGCCTTGAAATGGAAAAAACAGTGTTTAAAGCAACTGTAGAATAAGTACCTGTGACACAAGTTATATTTGAAGCTTCAGGTCTATCACTAGAGACGTTGGTGGTCTGTGCCAGCTGATTGGAGAGCAAGGCCAGCAACTGATGACACTGAGCAGGACTCAATTGCTGAAGCAAATCGCCAGAGTTCGATGTGTTCACCTTAGCTTCACTTCCTGAGACTTGATGTACAGTATTATGCTGCTGTTCACCATACCGTTGCTTAGGTTTGTACCCAGGGGGATAACCGTGAAGCTTGTAACATCTATCAACCGTATGACCACAAAAATTACAGTGTGTACACAACGGCCTCTCTTTCTTATAAAATCTTGAACCTCCATTGCCCTGTGCATTGAACTTCTCTGGTTTATGTTCATCAGATTTGGCAGCAAACGCCATAGTATTGTTAGTGTCAGAACCAGTAGCATTGCCAATAGACCTCTGACGTTCCTCTTGAGCAGCAAAAGCAAACACCTTGTTGATAGGAGGCATAGGGTCCATGAGCAGCAGCTGGCCTCGAATCTGAGAATAAGAGTCATTCAGTCCCATGAGAAAGGACATTATGTACTCCATTTGGTAATGTTCATTTAGATTTCGCACTCCTCCACAGGTACACCTCCCGCAAGAGCAAGCAGGACGAAAATTGCTCAATTCATCCCATAATGTCTTCAATCGTGTAAAATATACACTAATTGAATTCTGATCTTGCATTAGGTTCACCAGCTCGCGCCGTAGTTGGAAAATTCGCGGACCGTTGCTCTGCTGGAACCTATCTCGTAGATCCAACCAAATCTCATGCGCAGATTCAGAAAAAATCACACTAGCAGAAATCTCTTTAGAAACTGAGTTTAAGATCCACGAAATTACTATATTATTGTTCCTAATCCAGAAAGCCAACAAATTGGAATCATTTGGTTTCGTTATGGATCCATCAATAAACCCTAATTTGTTCTTAACTGAGAGAGCAATCAACATAGCACGACTCCACGAGGCATAATTGTCCCCTGTAAGGGCTTGAGAAACTAAATTCAAACCTGGACCATCCGAATGATGCAGGAAGTATGGACTCGAAGGATCGTCAATGGCGGACTTGCCATTTTCAGCCTTGAAACTCGCCATCGGAACGAATCAAAAAATTGAGGAAGACAAACGACGATTGAATCGGAAAAACTACGATCAACCGAAGAGATGATTGAACAAATCAATCGATGAACAACCAAGTAAAACCAAACTCGATCAAAAAAAAACTCGAAGCGTGTTTCTCCGCTCTGATACCATATCAAGATCGAGAAAGGAAAAATGAGAGAAAATGATAAATTCTCATTAACGTGAATAGTTACAGGAAAGCTATATATATAGCTGAAACAGAGAGAAGCTTCCGGTAGAAGCTAAACAAAAATAACAGCTGTCACTTGACAGCTCAGCACATTAACACAGCTCAGCATATTATTTACAACTAAAAATAACAAATCTAATAACAACTTAATATTAATTAAATTAAATACATAAACACAGCATATCAAACAAAGATATGGGCATCATGGCGACAAAAAGATTCCCGTTATTCCTCTTCACTATCTCTGCAATTCTGCTCAATATCATCTTCACTGCTTGTCAAGGCCACTCTCCGGTCCCTGAAAAACATGTTTCACCTTTGTTCGTCTTTGGCGATTCAATTTTCGATCCTGGAAATAACAACTATATCAACACAATTGTTAAGGCAAATTACTATCCGTACGGTGAAACCTTCTTCAAGTACCCAACCGGGAGATTTTCTGATGGCCGTATTATCCCGGATTTCATTGGTAAGATCATATTATTCCTCTTGTACTTGAGTGTTAATTTTTTTTTCTCCCATCTATTATTTTATTTTTAATTAGCATCTGAATGATTAATTAATGTTAAAATTAATGTTCAATGCAGCTGAGTATGCGAAGTTGCCTTTGATTCCACCATATCTACAGCCCGGAAATCACGAGTTTTCATATGGGGTGAACTTTGCATCTGCAGGGAGTGGTGCTCTTGTTGAGAGTAACCAAGGGATGGTGTGTGATATTTCCATTTTATTGATCACATCTTTGTTCCACCTCGCATATTCTGAATTCTATTTTCCATTAATTAAGGTCTTACATTTCGAACATGTTTATCTAATATATTGTTTCATCAGACAATAGACCTTGGAACTCAGTTTAGATATTTCAAGAATGTTACCCGGGAGTTGAAGCAGAAACTAGGGGATGAAAAGGCAAAAGTTTTGTTGTCAAGAGCTGTTTACATGATTAGCATTGGAAGCAACGATTACGTATTTCCCTTCACCATTAACTCCACAGTCCTTCAATCCTACTCGCCCCCAGAATTCGTACGACTGGTGGCAGGCAACATAACTTCTGTTATTCAGGTACTATTGTCCCCCTAGTTTTTATTTTATTTTATTTTTTAACATAGTAGTTTTAATTTTAATATAGTAAGTATGTGTATAAATTAGACTTAGCATAGTTCTCCACATTTAACAAATAAAAATTATTATTATATATATATATACATATTAGTATAATCTTGATAAAAAAAATTAATCATCTACCAATAAATTCTGACACCGTCACTAACCATAGTTATATGTACTCTTTACATCTGAATATATTCTTTATTGATCTCGTTTTTCATATATGTTGATTAATCATTGTTATATTCTAATGTTGTTACATGTGTGTGTTAGGAAATATATAAAATTGGAGGAAGGAAATTTGGGTTCGTAAACTTGTGGCCTTTGGCGTGTGTACCATACTTGAGAGTAATTGATGTTGAGAAATATGGTGCTTGCTTTGATCAAATTACACCATATATACAACTACACAACAAAGAAATTTCCAAGCTCCTTCCAAAGCTACAGAATGAGCTCAAGGGGTTCAAATATTCTCTACTCGATTTCTACTCGCTTATAAAAGCTAGAATGGATGACCCTTCTAAATATGGTACATATTATTATTATCCTTCTAATTAAGTCAATTTCGTATCTTTGCTTATATAAATATATATGTGCGTGTGTGTGTGTGTGTGTGTAGTGTATTTAGTCATAATTTCTAATAATTTATTATTTGTTCGGGTTAAAATATTATTAAGGTTTCAAGGAAGGGACAGCGGCTTGCTGTGGCAGTGGTCCGTACAGAGGAATTCTAAGCTGTGGAGGGAAGAGAGGTGTGACAGAGTATTATTTGTGCGATAACCCTAGTGAATATGTCTTCTTCGATTCCGGTCATCTTACCGATAGGGCATACGAGCAATTTTCCGAGCAAGCATGGTCTGGAAAGCCCAGTTTCGCTGGACCTTGCAACCTCAAAGCACTCTTTGCATTTAATTAAAACGTCTATTTTTTTTTATTTTTTTTTGGTTGCTCATGAATGGACTAGTTACAAATTTAAAATAAGCAAGGATATCACTTCATTATTGATGTCGACCCAAAGTTATATATATATATATACATATATGTATATATATATATAATGTTTGTAATAACTGAGAAAATCTCAGACTTTAAATAATACAATTTATGTATTTAAGTCAAGGATTTTTCTAGAAAATATTATGTTATATTTGTGACATAAGGATTTATGAAATTAATATCTATATTCCTAAATTCTGTAGCAGATTTCACGTTAAGTTCATGTTTTCGATTAAGTAAATTCGATCGATAAATTCTCGCCGTAGTTTAAGGCGGAATAATTTTTAGTATAAGTATAGTTTGAGAATCTTAATTTCAAGAATCTCCAAGCACAGCACGATGTTAGCAGCGTATAAAAAAATGCACTGACATTTTAAAAGAAGAGAAAATCCTTAATTGCGAGACAGCTAGGTTAAAGTCACAAGATAAATACCTAAAGTAGAAGGGTACAATGTGAGCTCGGGAGTTGACACCGTCAGAAATAATGTCATTCCCGGGATATAATGCCGAAAAGTTAAATTTAGAATTTGTTCAGTCTAGAATTAATTTCAAGACTTGAAACAGTTCAAGATATTACGCGAGTAAGAATTTAATGTGATCTCAAAGTAGTCGAGGATTTAACATTGAACTGTAAATAAGCAGTAGAAAAGGAACCGTCAGAAACTAGAATTTCCTGTCGGCTAAGTACTTCCTTACAGTCAGTATGATTTTTATTTGATTCAAAGAAAACTTAAGATAGGGGACAAAAGTACAAGGGGTAGGTTATATTTTTCTCTCTCTCCTTCTCCACTTGGCCGGCCATGCATAGTGAAAATAGAGCCAAATTTTGGCTAGTTGAGTGTGCTAGAGGGTTTCATGTTAAGGTGTGATGTGATAGTAGTGATTGAAGGGGAAATCATGGCATACTTGCTCCTTCTTTCCTCCATCTAGAACCGGCCATGACTTAGGGGATTGGAACTCAAAATCTAGTTGAATTAATGGAGTGGATTTGGTGTTGAAAAAGGACTTCCAACTTGTCTATAAAAGGAACCATCATAAGCTAGGCCTCATTTTTTTTCCCCTCTCCTTTTCCCCACACTAAAATCCGGCCATACTCCACCCATAATCTCTCAAAAATTTTCTCTCACTCTCCTAACCTTAAGCCACTAGCAAACAATAGAAGAAGAAGAAGGAGATCAAAGGATTCTAGGAGGAGTCTAGTCAAGCATTTCTCCAAGGGTATAAACTCTAAATCCTCTCTTTCTCATTTCTCATGTTTTAGTAAAGTTTGAAATGTAGAAATATTCTTCTCAAATTTCCTTATACTCTTCTAGTTCCAAGCCATTAACAAATCTTAGAGGAGTTCAAAAGTTTTCAAGAGAGAGAGTTCTTCAAGGGTAATTTCTTAAACTCTTCTCCATTATTTTCTAGCCAACTTTAAGCTTGAATTTATGGATGTAATTTGTGGTTCTTGAGGAGATGAGTTGTTATAAGGGTGTGTGAGTTTTATGTTAGTTTTGTGAGTTTTGAGGTTAGTTTGATTAGCATCATGCGGTATGATTATACTTGGTTGAAGTTTGCTTATTTTGGGTTGGAGGAAAAAAATTTCCGGTTGCTTTGAACGCGAAAACGATGACTCTAGAGCGAGATTTTTTAGTATTTCTAAGTATTTTACAAAAACGGACAAGTTGTCCAAACACAGTTTCAAAAAAAAAGAATGCTACGGCAAAATGCTATAGCATTCCTACAGCATTCTTACAGCAAAAAGAAAAAAAAATAGCAGCCACTGTTTTCAGCCAAACGAGGCCTTTAGAGGCTGAATTTCAACTTTCTCTAAAAATGACAATTTTAGATCTCAACGAGACGAAGAATTTTTGTGAAAAACTAATTTTCAAAATCTGAATCTAAAATGTAGTAAAACGCATATTTCAGAAACTATAAAGTTTTAACTAAACAAAACTAACACAGTATTAGTTTTTAACCAAAGGTTATCAAAGAACCCGAGATATGATTTCAGTAAAATACTATGGTTTTAGACTTCGCTTGAATAAGGAATTGCTGTGGAGAAAGATTTCGAAAAAAGGGTTTCTACAACATAGTTTCATGGTGGTTTACAAGTTAACCGTAAAACGACTTGGGGAATAGTTTCAAAAGTTGGTATTCGAAAAGAGATTTTACAATGGGATTTTAGTGTTTGTAACTAAATGAGTGAGTAATCGGTTTTATAAAAATTGAATGATAGTTTCTTTTAAAAGCTTAATAGTTTTTGAGCAAAACATCCGAATGGGCAGTTGCGAGCTAAATATGTTAGGCCCCTAGAATTTTAAAGTTAGATGTGGGTCCAATGCCCGTATTAGTTCAATAACCCCGTTTGAGTTTAAATTTTAACAGCCTAAGTGTTAGAATGTCGTGAATAAGTTTCTAGGCCAAATTGAGCCTTAATATCATAATAAGTCCAATGAGGAAAATTATGGAGAATAAGTTACTAGATTGGGTAAATGATTTTCAATCTAGACATAAGTATGCTAAGGGCAATTAAGGAAAATAAGATTTTGAGGATTTAATAAATTGATCCTTATAGTAAATTATCCTTCAGTAAAGGAAAGGAATACATGCCTTAAGTAAAGGGCTAAATTTCCTTCATAAGCTGCTAAAATAGAATAGCAAACAACAGATAATCTCACACTCTCAATGGGTGTTCATTTTCAGAAGCACACAAGTAAGAGAATAGGCTGTTTGGCGAAAAGTGAATTCCAGCTCTGTAAATCAGGTAAGTAGGAATCTCGTCTACAACATGAATAGATTTTAAAGAAAAAAGTTACACATGTTATATACGCATATTTATGCTTTAAGTATTGTATGTGACGTCATGTCATACTGCATACACCTTAATAAGTCAAGAGGAACTTATAACAATAATCTCAGTTGAGTGTCGTACTAGCCTCTGAGAGGGAGGTGACTCAGGCTCCCAAGGGAGAAGAAAAAAAAATATGATAATGTCCTCTGAGAGAGAGGCATTCAGTTCAGTTATAATCACGGTGTCATGAGGGACCTTGCAAACCCTCACGTCCCAATGATTGCGCGCAAGTGGTACGAGCACTCGGGCCCATCAGTAAGAAAGATAAGATAAGATAAGATAATAAGACACTGATAAGACATCATAATTAAGCATAATTAGCTCATGCATATTTATTCATGTGTACTTACAGTTATTTTGCGAGAGATAGTTCCTACTTGCTGAGCGAACGCTCAATCAGATATGTTCATGCTGTAGGTAAGAAACCTATCAGCAATTCTTGAAGGGCAATGGCAAGCGGCGGACGAATAGTGGAGATAGGAATTGATACCGCTCATGGAGTCATTTTCCGCAGTAGTTAAAGTTTTAAAAGATTTTGATAAATATGTCTATAAACTTGTATTTTTAGAATTTTGTAGTATAATGCTAAGTTTGTGTAAACTGCCAGAAAGTATCTCGTTATAGTAAGTTTAAAAAGAAAAGAAAAAGAGAATGATGCAGCATTCCTAAAGCATTTTAAAAGAATGCTACAGCATTTCTAAAGCATTTTAAAAAAGAATGTTACAGCATTCCTATAGCATTTTAAAAAGATTGCTACAGCATTCCTAAAGCATTTTTAAAAAGAATGCTACAACATTCCTACGCATTTTAAAAAGATTGCTACAACATTCCTAAAGCATTTTAAAAAGAATGCTACAGTATTTTAAAAAGATTGCTACAACATTCCCAAAGCATTTTTAAGAAGAATGCTACAGCATTCCTATAGCATTTTAAAAAAGATAACTACAGCATTTCCAAAGCATTTTTAAGAAGAATGCTACAACATTCTTACAGCATTTTAAAAAAAACTTTAAGAAATTTAGTGATTTATTCTTTTGAAATTATTGTTATGAATTATGAAATTATTTCTTCTTATAAAAAAAATGTTCCGCAAATTTTAAAAAATCTCAATAAGTACAAATTAATTTCAGCTACGGAGATAGTGGCAGGGGTCGTCACCATGTTCAGGTGAATTTCTCATTTCAATTCTCAACTACTTCCATCAGTAATGTATTTATTTCTCATAATGATCATAGCAACAAACCATCTGTCTTCATGCCAAACATTGAAATTCTCACGTTTTTTTGCTTGTAAATTTAGATTTCAGACTTTATTATATGCTAAGTTCATGCCAAACATTGAAATTCTCACGTTTTTTTGCTTGTAAATTTAGATTTCAGACTTTATTATATGCTAAGTTGGCATTCCACGTGCACGCGTCTTTTCTATAGTTTCTTTGGTATAGAAGCAATATTTTATTTGGTATGGAAGCAATATTAGTGTCATTTCCTGATGAAGTGTACTTCTGGTTTGTCATTCTGCTCTAAGTTTTTGGTGTAAGATAAAAATGAGAGTTGAAGATGAACCATATTAATCTTATTCAATATCATTAGGCTGTCTTCTATTATTCGATGTCATTCAGCTTGAGTTGAAGATAAGTCATAAATTGGACTTTTATTTATAGGCGTGCAAAAGACAAAAGACTTTATTCACTATCGATGTGGGACAAAATATATATATATATATATATATATATATATATATAAGAGGGTGCAAAAGACAAAAACCTTATTTCCCAACTACTGTGGGACTCAAAAGCCAAAAATCCAACATACTCCCAATCCTCGTGCTAGTACTGAAGGACTGTTTGAGGATAATGGAGTGATCTATCTACATGTGAATCAAAAAAGTATGCATAGGGACTGTAACGGCTCGGTTTTTGGGCCGATTTTTGAGCCGTTACACCATGACTTATAGCAGAAATTTATTTAACTTCTTAAAACTTAACACTTAGTTACTAAAATATCAAGCATTTTTTATTTCTTTTTTTGAAAATTTATCTTTAAACATAATTTAAATTAACCCATTTTGTATTTATAAGAGTTGCAGGATTACTTGAGCGATTCGGAAATATAAGCTCGTACTAATGTTAGCAAAACTTAATATTGAAAATATGATCCGTTTTCGAATATACTTAA